AAATTATTTCCTTAAATACACTTGCTGATTCATAGTTTTCCATCCTTTGGAATACTTATTATGCTAAATTTGTTTACTCATTGGTGTCCCATGAGTTCTGTAGGAAGTCTTTTTAAATTGTATTTTCCTCTGCTTGGGTCATTTCAAGAGATACCTTTTTGTTTGTTTGTTTGTTTTGTCGATTGTGGGGCTTGAACTCTGGGCCTAGGTGCTGTCCCTCAGCTCTTCAGCTCAAAGCTAGCGCTCTACCACTTGAGCCACAGCACCACTTCCAGTTTTCTGGGTTAATTGGAGATAAGAGTCTCACGGACTTTCCTGCCCAAGATGGCTTTGAACCATGATCCTCAGATCTCAGCCTCGTGAGTAGCTAGTATTATAGGCGTGAGCCACAGGCACCTGGTTCAAGAGATAACCTTTTAAAAAGGTTGTTTCTGTTTATTGCTTAGTTCATCAAAGTTCAATATTTACATTGCATTGATTAAATTTTTCAGCTCCAAGATGTGTTTTGTTCTTTTTAAAATTCAGATCATGATTGATTTTCCTGATTTTTATTTTTTCCTTATAGTGTTTTTTTTTTTTTGGTCCGGTTGTGGGGCCTGAACTCTGGGCCTGAGTGCTGTTCCACAGCTCTTCAGCTCAAGGCTAGCACTCTACCACTTGAGCCACAGCGCCACTTCCGGCTTTTTTTTTTCTTTTTGCTTATATGGTGCTGAGGAATCAAACCCAGGGCCTCAGGCATGCAAGGCAAGCGTTCTACCACTGAACCATCTTCCCAGCCCCTATAGTGTTTTTTTTTGAGGCAGGGTCTCACTATGTATCCTGTCCTGGCACTCACTATATAGCCACAGATGGTCATAAACTTGCAAACTTTCTAATTCAACCTCTCAAGTTTTACATTCATGCATATCTAAATGTGTTTCCTTAAGATCATCATTTCAAATTTCCTCTTGTAAAACTTGGATAATACCATTTCTTTGAAGAGTTATTGTGTTTCTTTAGTTATGGCATACTTCTCTCTCTCTCTGTCTCTGTCTCTCCCTCCGTGGGGGTAGGTGGGTGTGTTTCTTCTATCTCTGTGTTAATTTCTATGCATCTGGTACAACAATCACCTCTTCCAAACATCACTGAGTAACTCTCATTGGGAAAAAACTTTCACTTGCAAAGGATTTTAGTGTGTAATTAGCAGAAGTATAAAGGCTGTAATCTATAATAATGAGGTGGTAGAGATTCTATGAATCTTCTTCAAGTTCCAAAACTAGATACTGGAATGACAGCATTGCAGCCTCTGTGAGGCCAGGTAGCCCCAGGGATGACACCTGCATGGCATATCATAATTATCGAGTGCCTAGATAAGCTAGGGTACCAATCACGATTCCACTTCTTTCTCTTTTCCTTCCTTCCTTCATCTTCCTTCCTTCTTTCCTTTTTTTTTCTTTCTTTCTTTCCTTTTTTTTTCTTTCTTTCTTTCTTTCTTTCTTTCTTTCCTTTCTTTCTTTCTTTCTTTCTTTCTTTCTTTCTTTCTTTTTCTTTCCTTTTTTTTGTCAGTTGTGGGGCTTGAACTCAGCCTGGGCACTGACCCTCAGCTCTTCAGTTCAAGCTAGCGTTCTACCACTTGAGCCCCAGTACCACTTCCAATTTTCTGGTGTTAGTTGGAGATAAAAGTCTTATGGATTTTCCTTCCCCGGCTGGCTTTGAACCTCAATCCTCAAATCTCAGCCTCCTGAGTAGCTAGGATTACAGGCATAAGTCACCAGCACCAGGCAATTCCATTTCTTAATAGTACCATAGCAGCCCAACCTATAACCAGGCTAGCCCAGTCACAGAGAGGAAAGATATTATGGCTGGCTGGGAGGATCTCAGATCAGCTATGCTGTTTCCCAGGAAGGTGGTGTCAGTTCAACCCTTTGACATCTTTTCTTGTGCAGCCTCTTTGTGAATCCAAGGCACCACTTCACTAGGACAGAGTGCAAAGTTTCAATTCTAACTCTGAGGAGCAGTGTGCAGTGAATGGCTTCTGGGAGCATTACATCAAGCAACTCTTTCAAGGCCTCAAAAGTCTGGGGGTTAGTAAATATTTTCTATTTTTCATTTTTACGCTGAGCTTATTTGATTTCCAGAATTTATTAATATCAATTTTTATATCCATTATTGTAATTCTCTAGATGATAACTCCATTGTTAGGAGGTCTGATGAGCAGTTCCCCCCCCACACACACACACATACACACTGGTTTTACTCTGTTTTCAGTTCTATGATCTCTTCTCTGGGTCTACCTAGTAATGTTTTATTGACAACTAGGCAGTGTAAATGATAAACTACAGACATATTTTAAGATTTGAAACAACAGTGTCTTCTAGAAAAAAATCACTTCTGCTTGAAGATGATTAATTTTAACTCAGTCATGAATTCAGTTGACTTGGTATCTGCAAGAGAAAAACCTACTGCTTTAAAAAGTCTAATTACATCAACATGAAGTGTTAACCCATGGGCCACTGCCAAAAATAAATAAAAACTACTCAAGTAGTTGCTGTTAGTATCATGGTAAAAGGTCAAATTCTCACCTATAGTAAATAAATAATAATAAATCACTCTTTATACAAACTCATCAAAAAATTTAGTAGAGGTTTTCAATGATTGCTTGCTCTTCCTTTTCTCAGTTAATCACCAACTGTGTTACTCATCTTATGGAAAGTCCCATCATGACTAAATTACTAATCGTAGGTGGGACTATAGCAAATGACACAGAATTTGCCAATTATATCACCCTGGAGGCAAATGGTTCACAACTACTTTATTAAACATGTTTACTGCATGTTTAATCCAGATTGCTGTGAAAACTCATCTCAAATGATCATTCTCTCTCCTCCCTTTGCCCAGATATAATACCTCTTCTAGGTCAAAATTACCATCTATGATTCAGGTCCTTATGATATACTCTATACTCCAAAATTTTCAGAAAATTTTCAGAATCCAGATAACTACTCTTCCAACACATTTTTTATCTGTTTATTTTTGGCCAGGGTTTGAATTCAAGGCTTCACTCTTGCTCAGCTTGCTTAGCTTTCTTATTCAGCTGGCACTACCATTTGAATCACACTTCTTTTAGAGATTGACTGTCTTAAATGTTTCTGTCTGGGATGGCTTTAAACCATGATCCTCTGGGATCTGGGTCTCCTGAGTACCTAGGATGACAAGAAAAACCCACTACTTCCTGGTTCCATATTTTTCAAACTAAAAATTACATCATGAATTGCAAGACATTACACCTGAGATTTATTTTATATAAAGATTTATTCTACATGAGTATTTTACAAAAAAGAAAATCACAACTGGGCTGGGAAGGTGGCTCAGCGCTTGCCTTGCATGCCTGAGACCCTGGGTTCAATTCCTCAGCACCACATAAGCAAAAAGAAAAAAGCCGGAAGTGGTGCTGTGGCTCAAGTGGTAGAGTGCTAGCCTTGAGCTGAAGAGCTAAGGGACAGTACCCAGGCCCAGAGTACAGGCCCCACGACTGGACCACCCCCCTCACCACCCCGCAAAAAAAAAAAAAAGAAAATCTCAACTTCATTGAAATGCATAAAATTAAATCAACTCTGTTTGTCAGGCATTTTAATATTATTACCATACGTACCGGACATCTGTGTCATCCTTATTTAATAAGCAAAAATAAAATTCTCCCCCAAAAATACTAAATAGAAAAAGTGGCTGCAATTTGACACAAAAGTGTAAATATGATCAAATCTGGGCCCTATATATGCATTTGTAGCCTGCTTTTATTTTTATTTATTCATTTATTTATTTTTTGGTCAATTGTGGGGCCTGAACTCTGGGCCTGGGCACTGTCCCTCAGCTCTTCGGGTAATGGCTAGCACTCTACCACTTGAGCCACAGCACCATTTCTGGCTTTTCCTACTTATGTGGTGCTGAGGAATTGAACCCAGGGCCTCATGCAAGGCAAGCACTCTATCACTGAGCCACCTTCCCAGCCCCTGTAGCCTGCTTTTATACTTAATGTTTTATCATAAGCACTTTTCTATAATATAAATTTTTGGATACATTTTTTAATGGTGACATGTATTGCAAGTGAGCCAGAAAAGCCCCAAGAACACATACACAAAAACAAACAACAAAAAAATATTTTACTAAGCTTGCAATAAGTAGTATTTTCTTCCTTTGTAGAATACCTGCCTTTATGAAATATACCAAAGCATTTGTATTAGTAACTCTAATCATTAAAAACAATGTTGCACCAGATGCCCCTCAGTAGATGAATGGATCAAGAAAATGTGGTATATATACACAATGGAATTCTATGCCTCCATCAGAAAGAATGACATTTCCCCATTTGTTAGGAAATGGAAAGGCTTGGAAAAAATTATATTAAGTGAAGTAAGCCAGGCCCAAAGAAACATAGGTCCCATGGTTTCCCTTATTTGCAATATCTAGTATATGTATGAGTCAAGCAGAAAAAGTCAGATAATGTGATGTTAGGAAAACAAACCCTCAAATATGTATTTTAATGTTTTTGTTTCTTTCATGCATGTGTTTCTAACGCATTTATAAGATGATTTCTTTGTTGCTTTGTATGTCCCTCCCCCACAGTGTAACCCCCGCTTTCACTATATTTGATGTCAGTATAACAGGTGGAGGAGACGGGGACAAACAAGTCGTTTAAGGATTCAGGTGGACCTGTTGCAACAATGAGAAGTACAAAATGTCATGTCAAAACCAGCTTTACAATGTCGGTGTGGTGGGGGGGCGGGGGGGTATGATTGGGCGGGAGGGAGGGGGGAGGCTGGGAAGGGAGGTGAAGGGTAAACAAAGGAGGAGGCTGCAATGCTTGGTAAGAAATGTATGCATTATCCTGCCCATGTAATTGTAACCCCTCTGTACAGTATGTTCTCAAATAAAAAAAAAAAAAAAAACAATGTTGCAATATAGCTATTAACATTTTGATTTCACAAATGATGAAAGCAAATCTCAGAAAGGTTAACATTTACCTGATATTCTTCTGGATAATTAGCAGAATAGCAAATTTGAGCTCAGGTACCTCTGATTCCCAAACCAGTATTCAAACTGTTACTGAACTTCACTAGGAGGAGAAAACATAAACATAGAAGTTGCTTAGCTTATAACTAAACAAAATCAAACAAAAACCTAGAATTCTGGCAAGTAGCCCAGTATGTGTTTGGTTACGAGGCTATGGTGAATATATTATCTGTTTCAATGGAACTAAAGCTACAGCTCTTCGTCATATTTTAAGTAAACAAACAGGAGGCATTCAATTTGCATCAGCAGCTTTGCTGAGACCATGTGACATCCTGTTTTTCATAATTCTTGATAAGGCTGACTTTGTTCATCCTAATTTTTCATCTGTACTTTCTACAGTTGTCTCTAACAAGTATCTAGCACACACACTCAATAAGTCACCTTCTTTGACAATTCTTAGGAAGGTTAACTTAAGTTCAATTGCTCACAGTGTCCAATTATAAAATGCTTTTTGACTTTTATATAACAAAGTAAATTCCATTTGCCTATAGAAAATTCTATGAAATACAAATGTGTGGTAGATTCATGGTAGATTCAGTCCACATTTTTAAACAGGTGACAATCAGGATTTTTGTTGTTGTTGTCTAAAGGTCTGAATGCTACAAGACATTATGTAGAATACATAGGGGGAAAAGGGAAAATATGGAAGACAGAATTTCTCAAACTGTATAGAAAAGCAAACATTCGACATATAGAATAAAGTACAAAGAAAATAGGATTGTTCCCAGTCAACAGGAATGCCAAAGCCTAAATCAAACTGTAGTCATGATTGCATCACTAGAGTTTATCTTCTCTAAGGACACATCCTTCTCTCTGCCCTGCCAAGGACTGGGGCACTTGATTACACAATGGCTGGAACTTTAGTCATCCAGATGTGCTCCAAGGGGCTTCCAGGCACACCACCTCCTTTTGGTGTCCACGGTCACCTTGCTTCCTCCGGCAGGGTGGTTCTGGGAGAAAGGGGACAACATAGATGGGATTTGTAAGCACCCAACAAAGTAAAGCCAAACAGGAAACCGTGTTGGCAGCTCTCCTCATGAAGCCAGATACAAGGAAGAATCAAAGTTCCTGAGAGGGCAGGTATCCCTCACAGGGCCTGCCAGCCTCCCTCTGATGATTTCTGCCCTAGCTCTCAGAGGATGCACACTGAAATTCTCCTCTATCCTTCCTGCCTGGCCAAGAAGGTACTGTGTTGGCCTCCTAGTGTTGCTTTGCCCCACTGGAGTATATAACTCTAGCAGGGAGAGGCGATTCATAAGCTTGCTTAAGTTGTTTGAGTTTTGTGACCATCAAGAATGTCTTATTGGTGTACTTTTTTACCCATTCTAGGCAACTAATATTTTCACTTAGCTCCTCTAATTATTACTAATCTAATGCCATCAGTTTGGGGTTCATTTGAAGCAATAAACATGAGTCAAAGGAGATATGAAAATAAATACATTTAATAACCCCCAACCAAATATAGGTTGAAATGAATTATATTAACATATTAACTTGTATTTTCCATATAAAAATAAATCGAAAGATAATCCTTGATGATGTTTTCAGACAAAAATACCATGAATCCCTGAAGACTACCTAGAACCTCTTTCAAAAACTAAAAGTTCTTGAGAATGTTAGAATTAACTTCTCTATCCAACCCCCTTCTAAATCTTTGACAATTTTCTCTAATATGTCTAAAGTACACAAAAGTACTTTAGACATATTTTCCCATGTGCTATAATCAAATAACATAAAAAATGAATTAAACATCTAAGTTCTTACATAAGTCCATACACCAGTGAAGCAAATATGTTACCAAATACCAAGAATATTTTTAAATTACAAATGTAAATTTTTCTTTGGAACATCTTGATCTTCATAAAATTAGAATTCTATAGAAAAAAAAGAACATATAAGACTTATTTTTGTCTCTAACCTTTGGAGAAATTGATGAAAAATATTTGCATTTTTTTATAAAACTTTACTTTTAGTGAGTGTATATTAATTGCACAAAGTAAGGTGCTTCAGTGTAATATTCCATGCATTTCATAATGCACAAAATGTATTTTGATGAGTTCACCCTTCTATTACTCTTGCATCTAGCCATTTCCTTTCCCCTTATACTTCCTTAGTGTTTCCCTTATTACTTTCATGATCTTGTTTGTGTGTGTGTGTGTGTGTGTGTGTGTGTGTGTGTGTGTGTGTTGTGTATGTCTGTGTGTTCTCCCACACTTCCACAAATAAGAAAACAACATGTGATAGTTGGTATTGGGAGACTTTTTGTTCATTAGTTTTAATTGTAAAATTTCTGCAAAGAGCCAGATAGTAAATTATTAAGGTTTATCGACCATATAATGTTTCAATGTAGATGTTAGTCCTAAAATACAACTGTACATATAAACACCTATAGAACTAACGACTAAAACATGATATTTGTAAGTCTGAGGTACCATGGTGGAATTGTTTTGAACAACCAACAGGTAGTCAATAAAAAAATATTAAGACATTAAAACATGTCTGGACTAGGGTGTGTATATCAGTGGGAGGAGGTAAGCAAATATGAAAAAGAAGGAAAATAAAGTAATAATACTCTATGTATATGTGTGAAAATGGAATAAAGCAAACTTGATGATACTGGGGGAGGTAAAGAAGATGACTGATTGAGATGCATTGAAAAATAGACATGTTAAAATAAAATAACCATTGTGCAACTATTGATGTGAAAGAAAGGAAAAAAGGAAAAAAGACAGGAAGGAAGGAGAGAAGGAAGGAAAGAAGGGTAGAACTAAGCCCAAAGAGTATGTTCTCTTAATTCAAAAAGTATCCTGTGGGCTGGGGTGGCTCAGTGGTAGAGTGCTTGCCTTGCATGCATGAGGCCCTGGGTTTGATTCCTCAGCACCACATAAGCAGAAAAGCCAAAAGTGGCACTGTAGCTCAAGCAGTAGAGCACTAGCCTTGAGCTAAAGAGCTGAAGGAAAGCACCCAGGCCTAGAGTTCAGGCCCCACTACCAACAAAAAAAAAGTAAAAGTTTCCTGTAACATTAGAAACTTACTGTACAGAAGTTTAACTTAAAACTTTCAGCATGCAAAAGCCTACTTCATTGTTATATCTTATGGGAAGCCTGGAGATTGAACTGTTATAAGACCAATAATTTGTAAAATCAGGACTCTCCTTAACAATGCTATTAATGGTCCACGGACACTGTGATCTTGAGGATCTGAGAAGCTGTATAACACAAAACATGGTACTAAAACTCTCCTTCTCTTAGATGAAAGTAACCTGTCATTCTATTGAAGAAAGAAATTGGTATAACTTATACTTCTTAAAGCCGTACTTGTTCTTCTGAAGAAGTTTCTGCTGTCATATAATCCAATCTTCATTTTCTTGTATTGTTTCACATCAAATATTTAGGATACTTTTTTTAGCTACCATCTTGGTCCCAGCTGCTGCCTCCTCTTGTCTCAATTTCAGCATTATTGGTTTTCTTGATTCTAACCTTGGGCCACAGAATGAATCTCTTCTAAATAGTCATGTGTTTAAGGCTTGGGCTGTCGACTATCAGAGGTGCTAGATCCCTTGGGAAATGGAGCCTAATGGAAGGATGTTAGAACACTGGAGGTGAGCTGGGAATGTGGCTCATGGTAGTGCTAGCCTTGAACACAGAGACTCAGGGATAGTGCCCAGGCCCCGTGTTCATGCTCCAGGACTGGCACAAAAAAACACACACACAAAAACCCAAAAAACAAAAAACCCCACTGGAGGTATATCGTTAAAAAGGAAATTTGGATTCCTGCCTTCCTATTTTTCTCTTTGCTTTCTGGGAGAGATGAGTAGCTTCCTTTGCTGCAAGCTCCTGCAATGCTATATTTACTGAGCCAACGCAGGTCCAGAAAAACAGGGCCAATGGACCATAGACTGAAACATCTAAAATTATAAGCAAAAATGAACCTTTCTTCCTTCGAAGTTGGTCCTCCCAGTTATTTTGTCATCAGGAAGAAAAAATGACTAATGTCCTTTGGTTAATTTTAATTCTTTCTCCAAATGCGCCCCAGGCTGATCTTTTAACAAATACATCATATTGTGTCATTCTTTCCTTAGAAACCCTGGTTATTTCCTTTCAATTTAGAATAAATCCAAACTCCTTACTCTTTTCCTCAAGTCCCTATGGGATGTATGATTTAGCCTTTGCCTCTTCCTGCCAGTACTACTCTTCCCTTTTACCCTTCACATAATATGTGCCAGTCAAGACAGACCCACTGGCATAGCCCTGCATATTAAGCTCACTTCCATGAGTTCATTTGCATGAACTATTTTCTCTGCCTGAATCACTCTTCATAGCAGGTCCAGCAGTTGACTCTGTATTTTAAAGTGTATGGAATATTTGTTTAATTAGGTCTGGGAAAGGCCTACAGACAATGAAGTTACTATCATAAAGGGATTTTTATGCTTGCAGCTCCCTAGAAACAGGAAACAGGCCACCAAAGGCCATGTGGGAAAATACAGGGTTAGTCAGGGAGTAGGAGGAGAAAGAGATTAAAAAGGGCAAGAGTTTGACTATGGTTTCTGAGGAAAAGATAAGATGGGTTCATAATTTGCTAATTTTAGTATGTTCCCCACGCTCCAGAATATGCGGTAGAGGGGCGCCCAAGTTGCCTGATGTCTGGCCCTACAACACCATGAGCCTAGAGTGCCAGGGTGTCCTAGGGGAAGTGGAGGGTATGGGCTCTGGGTTGGTTAGTTTGCCTAGGATAAAGCATGTCTTCACTGTATCTAGGAATTAGCCTTTCTGCCCTTTTCCAACCAGTGAAGCCCCAGTTGCCACATCAAAAATATAGACCAGAAAAACACAGTTCATGTGGTTTGGCCTTATAAACTCCATATAAATCATTGAAACACACCCGCACGCTTATGCTAGTGTACTAACTGGTGGAAGGCTTGGGAAAGAGTTAAACAGCTTTTCTTCATTATTTCAGATTTTGTGATAAAATTTTGTCTGACTATTCTTCTCTAGACTTGGAAAGAGCAGATCCAGTTTGCTTATTCACTTTACTTTTTAAAGA